CCCATTGGCCACTGGCCATTGCCCCCACCCCCGAACACCGCATGACCGACCAACCCTCCAAATACGACACCTACAAAAGCCCCCTCGAAGGCCGCTACGCCTCCAAGGAGATGCAGCGGATCTGGTCCGACTCACACCGCTTCGGCCTCTGGCGGAAGATCTGGCTCGCCGTCGCCGAAGCCCAGCACGAGATGGGCCTGCCCGTCACGAAGGAGCAGGTCGAAGAGCTCCGCACGAATCTCGACATCACTGACGCCGACATCGACCGCGCCAAAGAGATCGAACGCGAACTCCGCCACGACGTGATGAGCCACGTCCACGCCTGGGGCGAGAAGTGCCCGAACGCGAAGGGCATCATCCATCTGGGGATGACGAGCCAGGATGTGAACGACAACGCGGAGTTGTGGCAGATCAACAAAGCACTGAAGGTGATACACCGCAAGCTCGCACAACTCGAGCTCGCATGCGGTGTATTCGGAATGACGTGGAAATCAACGCCAACGCTCGCGTTCACGCACTACCAACCCGCTCAACCCACAACACTCGGGCGCCGGGCCGCGCAATGGGCCTTCGATCTTCATGTCTCCAGTTTCACTCCGTACGACGAGTACCCGTTGCCAATCCGAGGAGTTCGCGGAGCGACTGGCACGATGGCTTCGTACTTGAGTCTTTTCGACAACGATGCTGAGAAAGCACGTCGACTCGATGCGAATGTTGTTCGACGATTGCGGGCGGAAATCGACGAGCAGCAAAAATTTCCATACGACCTGCAGGCGCGTACGCATCAGATCGAGCAAAACGAAAAATGGCGAGCCGATGCGGTAAAGGAAGGCAACGACGCGAGGGCTGATCACTTCGCGGAGCAAATTGAGCAACTGTCGTCCATGACAGATGAAGACTATGCCCATGGGATCTTTGAATGCGGTCACTCGAACTACGCATTTGAGCTCACCACCCAAACCTACCCCCGCGTCTTCGACGCCCAGGTCGTCTCCGGCCTCGCCTCCATCGCCTGCGTCCTCCACAAGATGGCCACCGACATCCGACTCCTCTCCAACCGCAAGGAACTCGACGA